TGAACAACCCAACTCAAAGTTTTGCAATATTCAATAGGAAGACATTATTATCCTCATCAGATGTGAGGTTTTTGTCGCATGTCGCATTAACTAACAATCTTTTTCTTCTTCTTTTGAATTTTACCACATGAGATAGAACAGAATCAATGTTACAATTAGAAACTCCTAAGAGGTTCAGGTAATTAGCTTTTGATTTTAAATATTGTACACTAAGGTCGAACACATAAGATTGAGTTAGGAGTTTGACAGTAATTTCATATCCTAATAATTCAATTGGGGCATTGTATGATAGAGTGATTGAATTGCACGATAACTATAGATTAAATAGGTTCTTTACCTACTTCGTGCTATCTGGAAGTTGATCATAATATACTACTACGTGTCACTCATGATTAGTAGAAGCCCGAAGATTAAAATTAATATAAATATATTCATTGTTCTTCATAAAGGGAGAATTAGAAGAATTCTAATTAAAGCTAAATTAGAAAGAGTTCTAATTTGAGATGCTACTTGTAGCTAGTATCGAATGCCTACAACCGGGTATACTTGAACCTATACGGTCACACACAAAAAAATTGATTGAAAACTAAAGGATAAAGGAGTGACAACCATTTAAGAGTTAATTGGGGTAAAAACCTAACTAAGAGTTAATTAGAGGTTTTATTACAATTAATGGTTAATAAAGAGGTTATATATAATTATGAGACAATTGCAATTTGACCCAAACTAGGATTAAAACCTTTAAAGCTCTATAAATACCTTTATGTAGGAGGTGGATATAAGATATAACAACTCTCTTGCTAGCACAAGAAGAACCACCCCCAATTCTCTCTCTCTTTACTAATTTTTTCAATGATCAAGGTAAATCCTTTAAATTTATCAATTCGTGTGGATACCGATAGAGGCCAAACATTTGTGAGGCTCGAGGTAATAATCAAATTCTGATTTGAATATTTAAAGTTTCTAACAATGCTTGAAGATTGTTAAAGACACGGTTCAAGAGATAACCCTTAATCTTTTCTATAGATTTAAAGGTTCTCGGTTTATATTAAATATGAATAGATCTTAATTTGAGAAATCAAATCATTATTTTTTTAAAAAAATTTCGTTGCGTTTATTATATGATTCCTTTCAGACCAAAGAAAAACGTTGTCATTTTTGAGGATGAAGTTGCTTGAGTAGTCAAGGGAGGCTGAGGAGACGCTGAACCCGACGGTGTTGGACTGCCAGATGATGGAATTGGTGGAGCCATTGAGGAGTTGTAAGTTGCCATTAGGGAGGAAGCAGAGGGAGGCAGTGGAATCGGTGGCGCCACCAGGATCACCATTGACTTTCTAGACGGGTATGTTGTTGTAAGTGATGGCTAAGAAGTGGGTATTAATGGGTCCATTAGTGATGAAACCAAGAGAGAAGGTGTTTTTTTTGGGAAGACCAAGACTATGATGGATTTGATGCAGAGAGGGCTGAGCCGGGAAAGATGTCTTTTGCTAAGATGGTGGTGGCAATGAAAGAGAGAGAAAGGAGTGAGAAACCCATACATGGTTGTTTCATTTCTTTTTTCCTCTCCCTTCTGCCGCTCTCTTTCTATATGCCTTGTATTAGTGGTTGTGATTTTGGGTAGGAGGTAAGGGGCTTGAGGCACAAGAGAAGGGAGATAAAGGGAAAGGACTTGGCTAGGAACAGAGAGCAAGAGAGTTGTTTGTTGGTCTTCCACAGTGAGGACTTTGAGGGTTGGGGGACGAGATTCTGATTTTTCTGAGAATAAGGATGACTTTCACTTTAGCCCAGAAGTGTTAAAAATTTCAATTTCCGAATATTTTATAAGATTTTTAATTTTGAGGGAATATAAGAAAAAATTTATGCGAGAAAGAACACAAGGGAAAACATAATTTATACAATAAAGTGTATGAAAAATACTATACTTCACGTGATTCTGATCACACCTCATAATACCATTAGATATGTAGGACAGCAGCGAACAAAAAAAAAAAAGACAACACTGTTTAATGACGTGAACAGTAACTTGATTAGGAACAGTGATCTTAGCTAGGAATCACTCCTAGAGTTCTTTGGGCGCCTAGGGTTTGAATTGGACCACACAATCTTCAAAGCATATAATTGCTAAAAATTCTAGTAAATATTATCTCCCTCCTTTATTAAAAATATCACTAGCTATATATAAAGTTCCATGTAATTCCTAATCCTAAAAGATTAGGATTCCAAAGACTTTGTACAACTTATAAAATAGGAAACTAACAAAAACTAAGATTTTAAACTCTATAAACATCCAACACTATAATTTGACCCAAAAAACGACCACGGGTCATGACTCGTTCCAACAAATCTAGAAACTATAAAACTACCCTCGATTCTAAAAAATATAAGGACACATAAAATACTCATGCCCACAAAGTGACTCAAACCAGCTCAATAAAACTCAAATATAATAACGTCAAGTTCCATATGAATCTTTGTCTTTATGGCAACCCAATTCCATTGTTGTTCACATCTTTGAATTTGTGTTTTCTTGAACATCTTATGGATTGCATCATTCTCCCCTGGTTGTAGAAAACTCAATCTTGTGTTTTGAAGTGTTGAAGTATGAAAGTCCACAAGACGTGAATTTGCATATGTGGCTATTTCCAAGAAGTCTTAAGATAATGTCATATTTTCTTCTTGAATTGAGGAAATAAAGAAAAGATTTGGAGATCAATCTTTTCAATTGTGTCGCCATACTTATTTGGAATAAAAAAATCAATTATCAGAACAAAGTGCACAAAAAGTAATACCTATAATTGATATTGAACATGAAGCTTGGTAGTGTGCTCTTCCATTATGGCCTTCCCTTCCTCTTGCTCATTCAAACTTGTAGTAATAGTTTTTGATTCTATCTCTTTGTTCATGTGGATATTTGCTTTTATTGTAGATCTCCTTTTGAGCACTATTAGAATATAGCAGCATTGGTGACACTTTATGCTCACTTGGATTCTAGGAAGATGCAAACAAATCAAGCCATTGACACACTAATTGTAAGTCATCAATGGGAGGAGTTTCATTGTGCAACTCTCTCGGCACTTTTTCGGAGCTCTCAACTATTAACTTAATCATCTCTAAAGCCAAATTTCATTCAATAACAGTTGTTTTTTTCCATCTTTTAGCCTTCACATCAAAAAAATTGTTTAGATATTCACTTTTTAACTTAGCCTATAGACAAGTTAGTCACGAAGTTGTCTGGATTGTGCATATGATTCTACTTAATCTCTTTCACCTTGAATTATGGAATCGCTTGTTGATTTGGACGGCTTTTGATGAACCTTCTTTAGTTGCACATTAGAATGCAACGAAGTCTATGTTTTAGCGTATTTCCTCCATGAACAACTTTCAAGTACATCTTCATATCAAGTGCCACTTGGAATGCATGCTCCACGCTGTATAGTTGTTCCCGAAGTAATTCTTGTCTTATATCCATCCTTAAACTAGCCTTGAATTGAACAATTGCTTGATAGGAGTCTTTTACAATTTGTCCTCACAACATTAGCTCTTCAAAACTTAGAACACCATGTCACAAATAGGTAGCCTTCTTGTAGATTAGTCGTTTGTTTGCACAACATGCCATAATAATTTGAGGGAATAAAACGTAGCTTTCATCTCTTGTCAACTGTTAATTGATGATAATCTCAATCTTCTTAGATCTCTTTCAACATCAAACCACAAAATTTTTGCCAAGCACACAAAGTTCATCTTGGCAAACCTCCCTCACCTATCATCCGACATATTTTACCTAGCAAAAGTGTCCTCAATAGAAGCCAACCAATGAACAAAATCTTGGATCTCCATCATCATATCTCAATATTCAACGCGCAAAGCATAGGATTTTACATATCAATAAAGCATAGGATTTTTCGACTTTGATACCAAAATTGATGTAGGACAGTAGCGAGCCAACAAAATCACCACTGTTCAGGGGTTGTGAATAGTAACTTGGCAAGGAACAATAGCGTGAACAGTAACCTTGACTAAGAATCACTGGTACGGCTCCTTAGGCATCACACCTAGGGTTTAAATTGCATCAAACAATCCTCAAACATATGATTGCTAAAAATTTTGGAAAATATTCTCTCCTTCCTTTATTAAAAATATCACTAGTTATATATAAAGTTCCACGTAAATCCTTATCCTAAAAGATTAGGATTCCAAAATGTACTACTTAGAGACTAAGAAACTAACATAAACTAGGACTTTAAACTCAAGAAACATCCAATACTAGAATTTGTCCCAAAAGATGACCATGGGTCATACTATTGACCCGTTCCAACAAATGTACAAATTACAAAAATTCCTTGACTATAAAAAATATAAGGACACATAAAATACTAATGCCAGCAAAGAGACTCAAATATATTCAAAATAAGAATCAAACATAAAAATGCAAGGTTTCATATGGATCTTTGTCTTGATGGAAAGCCAATTTCCTTGTTCTTCACATCTTTGAATTAGTGTTTCCTAGACAATCTTATGGATTGTATCAATTAGGCCCCCAATACAAGTATACAAATTGCTATGCATCACCTCTAAAAATCAGTTTGATGCACAAGTACTGGTTTATGCATACAAAACCATAAAATCATCATGCCCAAAAGAGTAGTGTCAACACAAATATGAGTAGCAAAAAAAGTATCTGCATAACTCAGAGCATGTCCACCCACACTGAGCTATCAAACAACTAGATACATTTGGCCCCAAAATAGTAATACCACCCTGTAGGAATTCATGACCAGTTTCATGAAGAAAAAAGACATAATCTGTCTTTAAACTGTCTGAAGCTTATTGTTTCCTTTTTGTCTGGTTTACTTTTGACCCCAAGATTGGATTGGTTTTGTCAAATAATTTCATTGCCTATTGCTTAATGATTTACTACAACCTAGCACTCAGATGAATAAGCAAAAATATTCAGAAACAATAAGAATACAAAGTTCAACATAAAATCTTCTGGTAATGGATTAAGTGAACCATACAGATACAGTTTTTCCGGCTCCTCCACAATGAGGACAAGTGGTCTGCAATGTTAGTAGGCCTTTTTGTGAAATTACCTGGAAAATGATGTCAAATTGCAAGTGAATTTTGAAAGATATTAATTATGATTAAGTAAGTTAAACAAGTCCTAGGTACTGACCATGCCTGATCCTCTACATCGCCTACAAGTTTCGGGCCTAGTCCCAGGAGGAACACCAGTTCCACCTGAAAAATCAAGACGCAATATGAATATTGGAATAAACTAAACTTGTTGGCCAACCCAAAAAAAGGAGAAGACTACGTAGATTGGGAAACACTTTCTAAGAAGTATGAGCATGGGTATGGTGAAACCAGAAGAACTTTTCTTTTTTTTTTTTTAAACGTTCATTAAGCACGGAGAGAGAGAGACATTGCCATACCACAATCTTCACAAGGCAAATCAGTTTGGAATGTCAGAGTTCTGGAGCATCCCTGAACAGCTTCCATAAAGGATACTTCGACTGAAACCTATGCAGGATCAACAAAAACTAGAAATAAATGTCAACTATTTCACCCTAATGCCATATATGTTTCACAAAATAGATGGAAAGGATCAAACCTTGACATCTTCACCACCTGAGTCCCTGTGAAAGAACTGACTGAAGATCTGAACACACAATGCACATAAACATTAGAAATTAGGTATTAAGGGTTGAAATAATTTGATGTAAAGAAATCCTCATATATAATATGGAATGCTAAGAACTTAGCAAATCCACTCAATTTTAAACCGCGTTTAGGACGAGTTAAATTTGAATAAGAATAGTCAACCAAGATCCATAGCCTGACAGAACGACCTCAGAAAGGGAACACCACGGGTCCAGGACACTAACAAAACTTTAGTTCTAACTTCTAAGTCAACAGCTGAAAGAAACAGCAGACACATTCTCTGATCATTGGCCCTATTGTGCAATGTAATCAACAGAACCAAAAGAATCCAACTGCAGTGACTTAGATCCAAACACCTTTTTTCCAGACTTTTTCAAAACTAGATTCAGTGCCTCTAGTGTAGCCATACTGTTTGGATCTTAAATGGGTTTTAATAGGAGAAGGAAAAGAAATCCAAACCAGAAAGCAGTTAATTATAAATCATAGGCAATCTATAAAGCACCAATTATGAAATTATATCTGCAAAAGAAATACCAGTTTGCAAATAGATCTGAGAAAAAAATATATAGGACCCGTATCATGGCTATATACTGTTTGATGAAGTTCTATCAGACGAACATAATAATGAAATAGAAACGCTCGCAGGGTGGATCAAAGGTCCTGAGTTCTCCAACACATACAAGAAAACCCAAAAAATTAAAAAAGGAGGAACCAATTTAAATTCCACTTAAAAATAAAGTCCTTACATTTTCAGAATTTTTTAAGATGTCTTCAAAGGGATTAAAGCCACCTTCAAATGGATTATTAAACCCCGCACCGCCATTAGCAGCTTGTTCGAAACCTTCATGGCCGAGCTATAAGATTGACATGCCACCAACACAAGCATAGCAGTCAAAAACAGAAGAAAAAAGAACTTTACAAGACAAGAAGCATCAAAAATAAAAAATACAAAAGGAAAGGAAACAGAAATATAATTACTAAGTACAGAGATGAATGCACTTCCGAAATTAATTGTATATATAAGACGTGGTATTAGATATTTTAAATACGTGAGCAAATAAGTAGTGTCCCTGAGTGAAAGCCCTTCTGCTTAAAAATGCAAATAACTACTTTTATTCGTACAACAGCTCTGTGCCAAAGAAACTACAGCACAACTGACCAGCCACTATCAGCAATGCAATCTTGCTCCATATTTTGGACTTAGTTATTCTTGGGCATGATTGCCAAAAAAATATGGTTAAGGACTTATACTGATCTGCAGTTATTAAGCGCAAAATATAAGGCAGTTCAGAACTCAACCTGATCACATTAATCCACAAAAATCAAATGCACAACCAAAGATATTTAAACAAAAACAAGCATATAAAAGCATCAAGTGTCACATATAATGCAGCAAGACAGAGAGGTGGACATTTATCGTCATGAGCTAATTATGTACAAATAAGCTTACATTGAAAAAACCGTGATTATAGTTAAACCCTCCAATATATTTCAAAAATGAATCTCGGATAAAGTATCATACCCATTAAGACATACAACATAAGTGATTAGAGGGATAGATTTCACACATTCCATCAATGGCAGGGTTCATAGTGTATTAAACAGGTTTGTGAGTCTGTGACATCAGTTTTCAAGGCAACTACACATTTTGGCTCTGCTCATTGAAGTTACCTAGAAGAAGACCACCAAGTGTGGCATGTAAGCCATCTTGACAGAGAGGAAGGTTCTGCGTCTTCCCTCTTTTTTTCCCTCTTCTCCAAAACTAACCTTCCACTAATGAGTTCCAAAAGACGGGTGCAATCCAAGTATGCAGCAAATTTACAAAAGTGGTGACCTAAATATGTATGACAAAGAGTCGAATAACATATTCCCAAGAAGCTCTACAAAAGAAACTGTTGAGAAAGGAAATGACTCAAAACACCAATATACAATGCACTCAGAGTCGCACTCTGTCAAAAGCATGTTATTTCTCCTTGTTCATTCGAATAATAACTTCCTATGCCTTCCTCACCCTCCTTGACCAACGGCCTATACTCAACCAGTTATGACAAACCACTCACCAAGTTAGACATGAACAGAGCTAGTGCTAACAATCCAAAAAAAAGTTCTCTTAGCAGTTAGTACAGCAAAAGCGGGATTTGTTACGTAAAATGTTATTTTTCAGAAGCCAAATTTCTTATGCATTACAATTTTACTCAGTAAAACGGTCCCATCTATTTAGGATCGGGTCCATCAATCCTGATTTGTTGTTGTAATCTATTAAGGATCATATTTTTTGCAAAATCTTAAGCTACCATATCATTTTCTATTATTTCATCCAAAGTTAATTCCGATCTACCTTGGCACATCGCATTATCATCAATAGGTATCACATTACTTCTCTTCACATGTGCAATAATAGCTTTTCTACAAAAATTGTTCACACCACCTAGGTAAATTCTTTTCTTTAAAGAAAATCACCAATGTCGATTCTCAATTAATTTAAGTCCTAGTGATGCTACTACTATTGTTTCATAATCCAATTTCTAATTCTATTTGGTTTTACCATGCATCCATTTCAACATCCACAATTCAACCACACTAATTCCTATTCGTGTTATCCATTAGTTGCCCAACAAATTTATTCTTGTTTTTGCATTATGAACTTCAAAAATAATTCACTATTGTGCAGTCGAGTATTCTTTTTAACTTAAATATTTACACAAGAAACTTTCTAACTATGATAACGTTTGACATAAAAAAAGGTTCTAGAAAGGAGGAAGGGGATTCTAGCAACTTTTGTGAGAAGTAGGTAATCTAGCCCCAGGAGGTGAGAGTTTATCAAGTACCCAAACATTGAATTGAGTATCTAAAACATACAATTTTCTAGAGCATTGGGGGGCCACAACCTCTGTATGTAAATCTGTTGCCCAGGTCCTATCACAATGGACACTAAGCCTCAGGTTCTACAGGTCCCTTAATCCACTTTCTATAACATTTGCTAAAGGAAAACTTCAAGTCCGTCTCAAATGAAATCAAGCATCTCTATGGCTAGAGAATCATACACTTTCTTAAGTGAAAATTGTTATTTAGCCAACTAATTGTGCAATCTACCAAAATACACAAAAAAACACTAAAATTTATTGATCAAACCTGGTCATATTGTTCGCGTTTCTCCTCGTCTTTCAATACCTACGAAAAAAGAAACAAAAATGATATTTCCATATAAAAATTGGCCTTATTAGTTCTCTACCTTAGAAAATTTGTCCTGGCCAAAATACCTCATAAGCTTTTTGAACTTCTTGAAATTTTCTTTCAGCTTCAGGATCATCTTTATTTGTATCTGGATGTAACTTCTTTGCAAGCTGCAGAATGATGGCAAAAAGCATGAAGCAGATATCAAACAAAACCAAAAAATTCTTAGGGAAAAGAGCTACGACCCAACAACGCCATTTTAAAACAGTTAACTAAATCATACGGACATGTCATATATCCAAAAAATAAAAAATAAGAATCACAATGGCAAAAGACTAACTAGACACATACCCCATAATAAGATTTCTTAATTTCAGATGCAGCCGCATTCCTATTTACGCCGAGTACATCATAATAATCTCTTGCCATGGAAGCTGATCAAAATATAAAAAAGACCAGCACAAACTCTATGAAGTTCACATTAAGAATTGGCTTTGACATTCTATACACAATCAACAAAAAAGATAAACAAATAACTACATAAGAAAAATAACAAAATCAAAAGAATGTAAAGTGATAGTACATTACTAAGATATTTATTTTTCAATTACCATCTCATGCTTTGTGGTGAGTTATTTTGTGAGAACTAGAAAAACACACTTTAGCTAATTGAAAAGTCAGCCAAATAATAAAAAAGTAATACCCAGAATTTAAATTCTTCAATTTCCTACATTTCTTCATAAACCAGAGGTTTGCCGGAGGGATTATACCAATTCAATATAAACATACCATGTACAGTAAAGAATGAAAATTTCTTTCTTGTCCACCATTTTCAGTATAAAGTAAGCATAATACACCAAAAAAATAGACAATTAATAAAGCAAAAAGAGGAAGAAACAGAGAAGATAAAATCACCAGTGCCATGAATTGATCTCGTGGCGCCCAAATTGGCTTCAATTAAACAGATTCTCAACCAGTTCCTCTCATTAACTGCTGTGTTTTAAAACAAAAGATCCAAGACAATTAAAAAGATTGCACCTTGGACACCAAAAAAAAAAAAAATCGTAGCTTTTCCAATTACTCAATCTATACACAGGAGCTGAAAACAAGTAAATGAATAAAACCAAATACCTTTTCTTGAATTGGTGTTCAAAAGAAGCTTGGGTTGATTATAAACTGCCGAACCGAACCTCCTATAACCCCCTTTCAACAGCGACTCGTACACCTATAATCGGCAACAAAAAAATCAATATACATTACCAGAATTATACATACGTATTTATATATGTGTATATATAGATAAGAAATTACGATTGGTGAATCATGGAGGAGGTCGGAAAGAGAGCGGCGAGAAAGCCAGTGGACGAGTCTGAGGCCGTTGGACCTGACCATTTGCGGCTAATTGTGTGAGAACCAGAAAGAGAGACGTTGGGTTGGTATTCGTTTGTATTTTTTGGGGTTCAATTATGTTTTAAACCCTAGAGAAACCCCACAAGAGGGGTTGGAACTTGGAGGACATGAGCCACTCAGCGTCCGCGATATCGGAAAAATTTTCTATTTTAGAAGGGGTAATCACATTTTGAACTAAATAATTTAAAAATTCTCTTTATACCGTCAAGAATTAAAATTTTTTATACTATTTTCTTAATTTATTAAAAGTATTACGATATGTTTTTTTTGTTAACTTTTATTATTTATTTTATAAAAAATAGCATATTAACATTGACAAAATGAGCAATAAAAATTAATAAAAATGTCATATTATAACATTTTTTTAATATATTAAAAGTATAATATGAGAAATTTAATTTTTAAGGACATAAAATAAATAAAATAAAATTTAATTTTTTTGAAGTATAAAATACAATTCAGCTCATTTTAGTGGGAAAATATAAAAAATTTCACTTTGTACCTATTAGATTTCAATTTTTTTATTTTATACCTTTCAAGATTAAATTTTTTATATTATATCTTCAATGTATCAAAGTGTTGCAAATAGGGTTGATAATCGAGCTAAATTCGAGCCTAAATCAAGTTGAATTTATACATAAACGAGCTGACTCGTTTAACTATATTTACACATAAACAAGTTTTAAAAAATGTTTAAGCTTAACTTGATTACCAGCCCAAGCTTAACTTGATTACCAGCCCTAGTTGCAATGTGACCCTTCTGTTAACTTTTCGTCAATTTTTTTGTCAGTATCAATGAATTAACTTTTGATGGAAAAAATAATAGAAGTTAATAAAATGATCACATTGTAATATTTTTAATACATTAAAATTAAAATATAAAAAAAAAATTAATCTTCAAAAATGCAAAAAACCCAAATATATATATATATATATATAAAAACTTCTATCTTTGGTAGACTGGTATAAATAAAGACAACCAAAATATGCAAATAAATTATTATTTTCCACTATGCTTCAAACAATGCAATTAGCCAAAAAACAAAAAATTGTTTCAGAAATTCAACACTAAACACTAAACTTTGCAATTGAATTTTGTTATTTTGTGAAATATAAACTAAAGTTTAAATTTCGTCGATAGGATTATGTTGAATATTTGCAAAACATATTTATTAATATTAACACGTTATCATTGGGTTTACTGAATTTAATTCAAACTACCTAAAAATTAATAAATATATTTTTTATGCTATTCAGCTGAAATTTGATAAACCAAATTTTCATTATATTAGACTAAATATTTTGTATTCTTTAATTTAAAAATTAGAAAAAGATTTAAAAGGCCTAGCCCCTTTCTTTGCCTAATAGCAATGAAAAAAGATCCAAGAAACAAATAAAATAATGGTGACAAACACCTCAAGTGGCTTTAAAATAAAAAATCAATATGAGAAAACCTACCGCTTTCTCTCTAAAAAGATTTGTCGAACAAGGTTGTAGCACCGCAACATCAGACTCTGCCTTCTTCTTTTTCAAGGTAAAACGGTGCATAAAAAATGATTAGCCCATCAAAAGTCCAGTTCCTTTACAATCGAAAGTTTCGAATAAGAATAAAATGAATGTTTAAAAACTCAATTTTTTTAAACAATATAAGAAGAGAGAAGAACTCAAAAATAGGGTGGACGACATAAAAGCAAGCGATGCAATTATCTTAATGGGTGGAAGATGTGATAATTGCTACATCATCCGAATTTTCACGCACATTAATTCAACTAGTGCCAATATTCAAGCTGAGCTCAAATCAAGGTTGTCAAGTTCTTTGTTTTTTTAAAAAAACAAAAAACTTGACTCATTTAGAAAGAGTTGAGCCGAGCTCATAACAAATCGAACTCAAACCGAGTCCGAGTAACTCAATATTTTACTTATAAGCATGTCAAAATTTGTGAGCTCGAATCGAACCTTTTAGACTTGTTTTTTAAATAAATCTAAAAAAATGTTCAAACTCAATTCATTTAAAAAACAAGCCGAGCTCGATCCGAACTAAGTAAGCTCGAGTCAATTAATCAGCCCTAAATGCAAGGACAATCACCATGAGAACTGCAACTATATCTTTTGATAGCAAACAATTGCATTAGATTTCTTTAGTTACAAAAGCTTAATGTCACAGTTTACATGGATTCAATGGCACCCCACACAAACAACGGTTGTGGAAGAACGACGAATTATCGAAACCCTCCCGCCGATACTTCAATTTCCATCCGGTAGGTATCTCTCCACACAATCTATTATAAGTAACATTCAACCGTTGCAAAAGAATTGCATCAGTAATTTGGGTCGGAATACTCCCATTAATCTTATTGTGCGATATATCCAACGTTACCAATGAGTCCATAAACCTCACTTTCGAGAAATCGAACTCGAAATTATTTCTCGATATCACAAGAGTACTGGTGACTTTATTCGTGCCAAAAAACATCGACCCATCGCCCGAAAAATTATTTCTAGAAATATCAATTCCAGAAAAGTTTATGTTGGCAAATGATGCAGGAATTTCACCCCATAGTTTGTTGTGAGATAGAAAAAGTCCTAGTGGTGTGCCTCTATCATGAAAATGCCCGAAAGATTCAGGGATAGTCCCGGTGAGTTGGTTTCGGCTAAGGTCTATATGGATGATATTAGGCATTGTTGCAAGTGATGGTGGGATTGAACCAGAAAGTCTATTGAATGAGAGCTCAAGAAATCTGAGTTTTTTTAGGTCTGCAAGAGAATTGGGTATGGAGGCTGAGATATTGCACCAACTGATTTCCAGGGAATCAAGTTGTGATAATTTTCCGATGGCCGGAGGAATCTCGCCGACGAGAAATGGGATCTTGTGAAACCGGAGGATTTGGAGGTGGGTCAGATTGGCGATGACCGGAGGAATGGTGCCGGAGAGATAATCAGAGATGATGGTGAGTCTAGTGACAAAGTTGGTGGTCTCATCACATTCTACACCATACCAGTCACAGCAATCAAAATTAGGGTCCCATGTGGGCAATGGGTTAGGATTTGAGAAGCTGTATTTGAACTTTAGAAGGGCAGTTTTGTCATTTCCATCGCAACGTTCCGCCGGAAAGACGCCGACCGGAAACAAGAGGAAGAATAGAAGCAGAAGCATCATCAGAGCTGGTCAATGGGAATATAAAATTTGAGTTAGAACCATAGATTTATAAGTGTATGTGGATATGGTAGGATATAACATATGGTCAAATTTGGTGAACCCCATCATGCTATCTCTTGATTGCTTTGCTTTGTTGTCGGCTGTTTTTTATAATTGCTTGACTTCTAGTTTAGATGGGTACCATTCAATGAATTCAAATGCAGTTCATTATTCAAACACCCAAGTGCCGATCGAGAAAAAAAGATCGGCTTGTAAAATCTGCTTCAATATATTTTTCATTTAGTTTTATGTTAAAGCAAATTCGTTATCACTAGTTCAAATAAGATCCACTGTTTATAATGGATCTCCCATCTACATATGGTGGGTGATAGGAACCTTTGGATATGGTGAGATGCAGTTGTTCCAAATGTTGATTATGTTTGTGATTTTTCTTGCTTAACAATTGTGACTAGTATTGGACAAAGCAAATTGGTGTTTCACACAAGCATGAGAACTATAAACCACAAGTACTCTTATTAAACTCCGCTCAGCACGGCACGGCGCGTCGGATCAATCAGATGATCGAATATTTAGACCGAGTTGGATTAATATTTTGAATCATATACAAAATTTTTTAAAATCAGATAATCCGAATAAATTTATATAAACCCGAACATGTATGACCCGAAAACATAAATACCAAACCAAAAGGCCAATCCCTTTCTACTAGTACCCACTCTCAACGTGCAACTGTGACCTCCCAATAGTGCACCCATCACTCACATCAGCAATTTCCGAGAATCTTCTCCCTGTTTTTTAAAAGTTGTGTGATTGCATGAATTAATTTTCCAAAATAGCCCTATCTTGATCCCTCTATTTCTCTCTCTTAATTTTGAATTGACATGTAGGATTTGAGTGTTAATTGCATGTATTGTGGAGATATTTGAGATTTTTTTACATGCATTTTTAGTTTGGAAAATGTTATTTGTACCTAATTTAGTGATTTTATTTGGTGATATGATGGATCATAGTCATTGAATTGACAGCGGGTCTCAACTAATAATAAAGTCTATTTTCAATCTAATGGTAGAGAATGATAAGATCAATAAATAAGAACCCTGTACAGTATGCCCAACACATCCCCCGAGTCCACTTTGAAGCTATAAGCAGAGAAGCAAATATGGTAGCTCATGTGGTGGCAGCAACACAATTGAGGAAGGGTCTCTTACATGCACAGTGGAATGAACATCTACCACCATTTCTAAACCAACTACTTTGTAGTGAACCAAGAGCTGGAATTGCATGAAGTTTATTCAATGTAACTAAAATCAGTCTATTCATAGACTTTTCTAATAAAAATTGACTTTTTTTATCCAAAAAAAGAAAAAAGTTCAATGTAACATTACTTTTTTTAGTTAATGTGTTCAACAGGAATGAACAGGTTTTACGGGCTTAGTGGGAGCTTCTGCCATTAATCTAGACTTGCTCAATTTATTAATTTTTAATATGACCCGTCAATTTAAATTTAAACAAACAAGAATAGTACAATACGGGGTTGGAATCATAATCAATTTGATCCGTCAAACCGATAATTACATATGATGAGATGTGGTTTTGCTACATTGCTTGATTGCCAAAAGTCACAGCTTAATGTCACGGTTTACATGGATTCAGTGGCATCCCACACAAACAACGGTTGCGAAAGAACGACGAATTATCGAAACCCTCCTGCCGATACTTCAATTTCCAGCCGGTGGGTATCTCCCCACACAATCTGTTATAAGTAACATTCAATTCCTGCAAAAGAATGGATTCAGTGATCTGGGTCGGAATCCTCCCATAAATCATATTATGGGATATATCCAGCGTTACCAATGGCTTCATAAACCTCACTTTCGAGAAATCGAACTCGAAATTATTTCTCGATATCACAAGAATAACGGTGGCCTTATTCGCGCCAAAAAGCATAGACCCATCGCCCGAAAAATTATTCCTCGAAAGATTGATTCTAGAAAAGTTTACGTTGGCTAAAGAAGGTGGAATTTCACCGGAGAGATTGTTATGTGATAGGTCAAGTGCTAGTGTTGTGCCTGAATCTGGAAAGTGTCCAAAAGATTCCGGGACCGGCCCGGTGAGCCTGTTCCGGCTAAGATCAATGGAGAAAATGATTGGCAGTGTGGAAAGCGATGGTGGGATTGAGCCGAAGAGTTTGTTGAAGGAGAGGTCGAGGAATCTAAGTTTTTTGAGGTATGCTAGGAAATGGGGAATGGGGCCTGAGAGATTGCTCCAGCTAATTTCAAGGAAATCGAGCTGTGATAATTCTCCGATGGCCGGCGGGATTTCTCCGACGAGGAGAGGGTTCTTGTGGAACCGGAGGAATTGGAGGTGGGTCATTTTGGCGATCGCCGGAGGAATGGTGCCGGAGAGAGAACCGAGGATTGTGAGGCTAGTGACAAAGTTGGTGGTTTCATCACATTCAACTACATACCAACCACAGCAATCACTGTTAGGGTCCCATGAAGGCAAGAGATCTGGATTTGAGAGACTATTTTTGAATTCTAGAAGGGCAGCTTTATCTTCTGGATTGCAACGTTCCCCTGCCGGAAAGTGACCTGGAAACAAGAGGAAGAAGAGGAGTAGGAGCATCATCTGAGTTTAGTGAGTGGCAAATTAAATTTGACACAGAAAGATAACTATGTAAAGAGAGAGAGAGTGAGAGAGTATGGATAACTATGTAAAGATAACCATGTTCTCTCTTTTTCGTTATAGTGGGTTGTGGCTGTTTGTATCTGTTGACTGATTGCTCTAGAGCTAGACGAGTACCATTCGGTGTATTGGAATGCAGTGGGGCTTCCAGTTCAGTGCACATCATTATTAAACATTCCAAGAGGGGGCCGCCGGGAAGGAAGGGATGGCCTGTTGGATTGCGTGGGATGCAGCTGGCTGCTGTTTAAGATGTGGACTGGTACCACTGGTTTCCTATCTCCCCACATCGATATGATTTAGTTGAGTCATGTCTAATTTATATTTTTGGATTGGATGTAATTTTGCCTTCGATTCCATGTGTATCACACAAGTCCGAGAAATCTCTAAATTAATATGAGTCTTTGAAATTATTGTCATCGAAACATTTAATATCAGCATGTAACCTCGAATTAATATAATATTTCGTGATTTTTTTTTGATACCGTTATATAATATTGTGACTTATACATTTTAGATATTTCAGAGACGATGATCAATGTTATTACCTTAAATCAGGCATAAATTGTATTAGTAATTTTTTTTCATTAATAATCAAAAACGTTAGTCCATTGCAAAAAATATAATGTCTTGTGGTGCGTTACACCGAGCATTAGAATCACATTCACAAAGACAGAAGCAAGACATCAGACCAACCTGTTGTCTCGACAAGAACAGTGTCTTAGAATGGGGTAGCCCCAATGACCAAGTTGATTGTGCAATCCAGTCAACATTTGACCATGAAATAATGCTGAGTACAGTTCATATTTAAAAAGTAGAAAAATATTATGAATTCTAAATTTTTATGCCAAATGAAGGTGATTATCGGATGAGTGAGTTTCATCAATTTTTTTAAATGTGATTCACTGATCCAATGATCCTCTTTAATTTAAGATAGAAATTTGAAATACATAGCATTGCTCTAAAAAGGATAAAGTTAAATTTACAGATCTCCTGCACTCTAGAATTTGAATGACCTAAAAATAGTATATAATCTTATCTTAGTTTAAAAAGACGGATTCTTGTAAACGAACTTACAACAAATTAATTACACGGACGAGTGTTTGTCATTGCCGTCCTTACGACTCTCACCACTATATTGTCCAAATAATTTGAGACATATAAAGAAGCTATATACTTAAAAAAAAGAGAAAATTATAAGCATGTCTAACAAGGAAATGTGCAGCATGCTCTTGTCATAACCGGATTTGAAAGAGTATTAAATTTTATTCTCATTTTGCAGAGATTGATTTTTGGACATGAAGAGTTAGCAGGTGGTTCAATGGCGTTGACCTAATGGCGCTACCGCCCTACAGTTGTTCATGGGTTCAGCCCTGCCGAACCCCTATACAAAATTGTTTTAAAAAAAAAGATATAAATCTGTAACAAATCATTTGAATAAATGTATATTTGTATGTTGCACGTCCAAACTCTATTACTTCCAAATTATTTGAGAAATAGAAGGAAACTATCAAACTATACTTCTAAGAAAAAGAAATTATTTATATTTCTAGAAAAAGGAAATATGCATTATAGTTGCAATTATCCATACACTCTAAAAAGTTCCCAAACCATTATATATGAGCAAAAATCACTTTTCTCCCCGCCAGTCCCAAATTTTCTCAAAGCAACCCTCCAAATTTATCTAATTAAATTTCAGCACAAGAAAATATCCCTCGAGCACTAGTGAGTTCCCTACTTTCAATATTCTCATGTGACCCATCCATGCAAATAATGATGATTAACTACAAGACCACAGCAGCAGTAGATATTCCTTAATTCTCTCACCACAATCTTCAAACTCTTTTGGGGTTCGATTTGCTTCCAAAAAGCAAAAGAATAGTTAAGTTAGTATCCTAAATAGAAAATAATGATTGCCTCTGATAACCTTTTTATACATAACAGTCCATTAAAAGTTAAGAGAACTTGTTCTGCATAAACGCCTTTACATATAATGACCCTTTCTCAAGTGGGTTATGCGAGAACTTGATCAATTCATTGAAACTAAGTTATTCGGTACGAGTTCAGTCTTCGGATACGGCGATACCAGTGTTCAATATAATGAGGGTTCACGTGCTCTGGTTTTGCAGAATATCTAAGAAAACCAGCTTAAGAAGAAAAGGTGCTATCCCAATTGGTTCCGGATCGGATCGAGCAATAAGTGAAGGAGCTTGACCAATCCCAACGAGGGAAGTTGCTGAAAGAGAAGCGGAAGGGGACATCTTGAACTCAAGGGGAAGGGACCTTAACGACAACAAACGAAGTGCGTGCATTTCCCGATCAAAGAAGCCCTGATTTTGAAATCCATATTATATGCTAAATAAAAGAAAGTTTTTTTTTCTGTATGCGCCGCTTTGCCAGTTCTTTCGGTTAAAATGTCGTGCAACTCGGAAGACATAAGACTTCTTGGTCAAGATTGCTGNTGTATGTTGCACGTCCAAACTCTATTACTTCCAAATTATTTGAGAAATAGAAGGAAACTATCAAACTATACTTCTAAGAAAAAGAAATTATTTATATTTCTAGAAAAAGGAAATATGCATTATAGTTGCAATTATCCATACACTCTAAAAAGTTCCCAAACCATTATATATGAGCAAAAATCACTTTTCTCCCCGCCAGTCCCAAATTTTCTCAAAGCAACCCTCCAAATTTATCTAATTAAATTTCAGCACAAGAAAATATCCCTCGAGCACTAGTGAGTTCCCTACTTTCAATATTCTCATGTGACCCATCCATGCAAATAATGATGATTAACTACAAGACCACAGCAGCAGTAGATATTCCTTAATTCTCTCACCACAATCTTCAAACTCTTTTGGGGTTCGATTTGCTTCCAAAAAGCAAAAGAATAGTTAAGTTAGTATCCTAAATAGAAAATAATGATTGCCTCTGATAACCTTTTTATACATAACAGTCCATTAAAAGTTAAGAGAACTTGTTCTGCATAAACGCCTTTACATATAATGACCCTTTCTCAAGTGGGTTATGCGAGAACTTGATCAATTCATTGAAACTAAGTTATTCGGTACGAGTTCAGTCTTCGGATACGGCGATACCAGTGTTCAATATAATGAGGGTTCACGTGCTCTGGTTTTGCAGAATATCTAAGAAAACCAGCTTAAGAAGAAAAGGTGCTATCCCAATTGGTTCCGGATCGGATCGAGCAATAAGTGAAGGAGCTTGACCAATCCCAACGAGGGAAGTTGCTGAAAGAGAAGCGGAAGGGGACATCTTGAACTCAAGGGGAAGGGACCTTAACGACAACAAACGAAGTGCGTGCATTTCCCGATCAAAGAAGCCCTGATTTTGAAATCCATATTATATGCTAAATAAAAGAAAGTTTTTTTTTCTGTATGCGCCGCTTTGCCAGTTCTTTCGGTTAAAATGTCGTGCAACTCGGAAGACATAAGACTTCTTGGTCAAGATTGCTGACTGGATGCTCCTACCCCACCATGCCTGGCCCTTTACCTTACCTTAAGAAGAAAGAGGGGAGTATGAAGCGTGGGAAATAATGTAAGAAGTGTATGATACAACAGGTAACCTTCAAGAGTAGTGACAAACCTCTTGATTGATCAACACGAGTGAACTGTGCTTAGACGCTTCGTAAAACCGCACCGATGAGAACAGAATGTGATATGAGACACAATGGGAGTTTGAATGCCTCAGTAGGAAAGAGATCACCGGAATATAGCACAAGATCGCCTACGGTTCGAATCACTATCGGTTGACCCTATATACCTACTTAATAGATGGATTGATATGATTCTGATTGTTTATGAGTTGATCCAATTTAACACGACATGACTCATTGCCGTTCCTAATTGGACCAAAACTACATAACAGTTATATATAGTTCAGAGTCTGATTTTTTTTATTCCCCGTAACAAGGAACCTCTCCAAAGTAGGATCATATGGACCCACCCTTTAAAAGGTAAACTCAGATATCCACGATCACCTGCTAACCGTAAATATTAATTAAACCTAAAAAGCACCAGCGAGAATCAAATCAGAACGTCTAATTTTATGGTTCACCCCAAGCTTACCGCACAAGTTGTAGAACACCCTGCAACAGAAATTAGGAGTTACCAGGAGCCCTAACAAAGTGTTTATACTTTGCATAAATAACAAGAAGAAAAATTGAAAGTGCTAATAAAAGAGAGGAGATAGAAAGCAATTAGGGAGATGAAGAGAATAAAGGAAAGGTATAGCATCTTTGGGGCAAGGTCACAAGCCTCTAAAGGCTAGGTTTACCTTTTCTTTTCTTTAATCTCTATGTATAACTTCAACACCTCGTATTATCACTTGCTTTCTCTACCATTAGCATTGCTGCCTTAAGAAGAATAGAATGTCCTTAAAGGACAGAGGATCCAACTAAAGCATTTCTACCTCTGTTTGCAAGCACACCAACACTAATACAAGCATAATTCACCAGCACATCATGGTGCACTGTGAGCAGTAAGTTTTCAACTTTTACCCAGGCCCTTGTTAACTGTGAGATGGAGAAACTGGTTAGAACAATCCTACAAGTGTTAGGATCAATCCCAACTCTTTAGTTTAATCCTAATCGACCCTATTGAAACATGACTTGAACTGTTTGAGTCATAATTAGACCGATTTGGTCGTGACCCTCGGTATGATAACTTTTTGATATCATACAAAATTCCCTGTTTTCAGATATAACAAAACAACCACAAATAGTCATTACTCGATATAGATAATGCCAGATTGATGAATGGAGGAGATGCAAAAAGAGAAGGAAATTAAAGAAGAAAAAACAGATATATCAATAATATATTCAATGGAAGACCTTGAACCTACATTTGTGTGTTTTTCTGGCCTGTGAAACATCTTCATTATCGGAGATATTAAGCTTTAAGAAACAATGCAAAAACAGAAAAGCATAACAAACACAGAAGATCACCCTAATTCAATATAATAGGCTATGTTTGTCAGCACCAGTGAGGCTATCATTTTTAGCCAATTTTCTATATGTTTGCTTGGAAAAAAAGACATTAGTTTCTCCTTTTCATACCTCTCTCTTCACCATCAGATTGAACACAAATGTTAAGTCCACTACAGAAAACTAGGAATAGAATAGCCCTGTTTCTTGTTTCCCTTTATCACTTTTTGACAAAGTTTATACCTTCCCTCCATTCCCCTTGTCTGAACTTTGTTTCTCTGGAACCTATCATCATATCGAGCTTCTTCCGCAAACCACTCTTTTCTCTCACCTTCAAAATGATACCATACACCTGTACGTGTGTGTAAGAGAGAGAGAGGACTTAAAATTCCTTTCCTTGTCTTGCTGCATTCCCAAATAGAACTTCTTTGCTTCTGAAGTGGGTATCAGGTTTCTTGAGGGAAGTCACTTCCTGGTAGCTTCCTGCAGGAGCAAAGCAAGAAGAAAAAGGAGCATGAAGCTGATAGTGGAAGTTGTAGATGCTCGTGATCTTATGCCCAAAGACGGAGAAGGATCAGCTAGTCCATTTGTGGAAGTTGATTTTGAAAACCAGTTGAGTCGAACCAAAACTGTTCCAAAGAATCTCAACCCCATTTGGAACCAAAAACTTCTCTTCAATTTTGACGAAACCAAAAATCACAATCACCAATCCATTGAAGTCTGCATTTACAACGAGAGAAGGCTGATTCCTGGGCGAAACTTTCTTGGAAGGGTGAGAATTCCTTGCTCAAATATAGTCAAGAAAGGTGAGGAGACTTATCAATCATTCCAACTGGAAAAGAAGTGGTTTTCGTCATTTGTCAAAGGTGAGATTGGCATCAAAGTTTATATTTCGCCAGAATCCGATCCAAAGTCTGCTCCTCCATCGTCTGCACTACCACCTCAACCAGTACCTTCTGGTCCCCCTAACTCTCCCATTTCAGAAACTAAAAACCTTCTCAGTAATACACCTGCAGCCCTTCCCGCAACAGAAAACTCTCTTCCTGAAACTACTAAAGCTATCGCTTATAAACCAGAAAACAACGATCCCACAGCCTCGCTGACCAAGTCTTCTAGCTCTCCTTCTACAACAGTCGGTGCTCTAGCGGAAGTGCCAAAGGAAGTCATCGAAGAGCCCTTCAGAATAGAAACTACTCAACACGTGCACAAACACCAAGTCCTGCAACAACCAGGCATATCGGTGGGAAAAGAACCACAAGGTGTGCTGTTAGCCATGCATCACCAAGCCAATCCACAAGCTCATCAAAGCCATCAAGAAGACTACAATTTGAAGGACACAAACCCCCACCTTGGGGAGCGGTGGCCAAGTGGAGGAGCATATGGTGGAAGAGGGTGGATGAGCGGTGAGAGATTTACCAGTACATATGATCTCGTTGAGCAGACGTTTTATCTTTATGTTCGAGTTGTGAAGGCCAAAGATCTTCCACCCAGCTCAATTACCGGTAGCTTGGATCCTTATGTGGAAGTGAAGCTTGGGAACTACAAAGGAAGAACAAAGCATTTTGAGAAGAAACTGAACCCTGAATGGAACCAGGTTTTTTCTTTCCCCAAAGAACGCGTCCAGTCATCAATGCTAGAAGTTTTTCTTAAGGAAAAAGAGATGGTTGGAAGAGATGATTATCTTGGAAGAGTGGTTTTTGACTTGAATGAGGTTCCAACCAGGGTTCCACCAGATAGCCCTCTGGCTCCTCAGTGGTACAGATTGGAGGAACGCCGTGGGGAAGGAAAGGTGAGAGGAGAAATCATGCTTGCAGTTTGGATGGGAACACAAGCTGATGAAGCCTTTCCAGAGGCATGGCATGCAGATGCTGCTCTTGTTCATGGAGAGGGTGTTTTCAACATCCGATCCAAGGTCTATGTCTCACCGAAACTTTGGTACCTCAGGGTAAATGTCATTGAAGCTCAGGACGTCATTCCAAACGACAGAAGCCGTCTCCCTGAAGTTTTTGTGAAAGCTCAGGTGGGAAACCAAGTGCTCAAGACCAAGATATGCCCAACTCGCACAGCAAACCCACTTTGGAATGAAGATTTAGTTTTTGTAGCAGCTGAACCTTTTGAGGAACAGCTGGTCCTTACTGTTGAGGACCGAGTTCACCCTTCAAAAGATGATGTGCTGGGGAGGACAAGCCTACCACTCACCACGTTTGAGAAGCGGCTTGATCACCGGCCAGTTCATTCTCGCTGGTTCAACCTTGAGAAGTTTGGTTTTGGTGTCTTGGAAGCTGACAGGAGAAAGGAACTCCAGTTTTCAAGCAGAATACACCTTCGAGTTTGTCTTGAAGGTGGATATCATGTACTGGATGAATCAACACACTACATCAGTGATCAACGACCAACAGCAAGACAGCTCTGGAAGCAGCCCGTTGGAATATTGGAAGTGGGCATATTAGGTGCACAAGGGCTTCTCCCGATGAAGATGAAAGATGGCCGAGGAAGTACAGATGCTTACCTTGTGGCCAAGTATGGCCAGAAATGGGTTCGGACCAGAACAATTCTTGGCACTTTCAGTCCCAAATGGAATGAACAATACACTTGGGAAGTATATGATCCTTGCACAGTGATAACATTGGGGGTTTTCGACAACTGCCACTTGGGAAGTGAAAAACCCGGAACCAGTGCAGCACAAGACTCGCGGATTGGAAAGGTAAGGATTAGGCTATCAACTCTAGAAGCTCATCGCATTTACACAAATTCTTACCCACTTCTTGTTCTGCATCCAACTGGGGTAAAGAAAATGGGGGAACTCCAGCTAGCAGTTCGATTCACAAGCCTATCCCTGGCACACACTATATACATTTACGGGCACCCCCTGCTTCCCAAAATGCATTACTTACATCCTTTCACAGTCAACCAAGTCGACAATTTGAGGTACCAAGCAATGAATATCGTAGCCGTGAGGCTTGGCCGGGCTGAACCACCTCTCAGAAAAGAGGTTGTGGAGTACATGTTGGATGTCGATTTCCACATGTGGAGTATGAGAAGAAGCAAAGCTTATTTCTTTCGGATCATGTCACTACTTTCAGGTATGTTCTCGGTGAGCCGATGGTTGGGTGATGTTTGCCACTGGAAGAACCCCATCACCTCAGTTCTAGTTCATATACTGTTTCTGATACTGATCTGGTACCCCGAGCTGATACTTCCAACTCTGTTTCTCTATATGTTCCTCATTGGCCTGTGGAACTATAGGTTCCGACCAAGGCACCCACCTCATATGGATACTAAACTCTCATGGGCAGAGGCGGTGAACCCGGATGAACTCGACGAAGAGTTTGACACGTTTCCATCCACTAAACCACACGATGTCGTTCGAATGAGATATGATAGGCTAAGAAGTGTGGCAGGGAGGATTCAAATGGTGGTGGGAGACATAGCTACACAGGGTGAGAGATTTCAGTCACTACTCGGCTGGAGAGATCCTAGAGCAACCAGCCTGTTTATAGTGTTCTGTCTTTGTGCAGCTGTGGTGCTTTATGTGACTCCATTTAGAGTGGTGGCTTTGGTTGCAGGATTGTATATGCTACGACATCCTCGGTTCCGGAGCAAGCTGCCTTCTGTTCCCGGCAATTTCTTCAAGAGATTACCAGCTCGAATAGATAGCTTGCTCTAATACTCCATGTTAAAAATCAAGCTTGTGTATTTCTTTTTCTTTCCATTCTTACCTTTTGTTTTATGAATTTTTCACGTATCTTTATTGTGTGCTTTCCAATAAATGTTATGTTCGGCCGTTTTTATAAGGCAGCTTCTTCCTAAAGAAGATTGTTTAGTATACCTACGTTCTTGGCTAATGCTTGTGTAATCATACTCTCTAATAATAAGATCCTAAACCTTTGAATCTCTTATGAATTTTGACATATATGCCAATTAATTTCCCATTTTAATGAATGGCAGATACAAGAGGATCATTACTTATCTCCAACAGAACAACATTGGTTCTTAATAGAGATTGAAAACAAATAAATAAAAATTTCAATCCAGAAGAAACACAAAATATACTGCTAAAAGACAATCCACAAACAGGCATTCAGATTATTTTCGCATAGGCAGGGAACACAAGATTACTCAAGCATGAACCAAATAGGAAGTCTTTCTTACAGGAAAAGAACCAAATTGCCTCTTTACTTCACCTTAAGGGCACAGTCAAATCATGTGGAAGCAGCTTCCAGAATCACTAACTACATATGCCTTATGCTCAACATTAAGGTAAATCAGACAGAGAGAGAAGACATTGATCAAAGGTATTTGCATTGACGAGTACAGATATACAATTGTATCCAAAATAAAAGGGGAACAAAACATACATTTAAGAAATATTGCAATAGCCTGACAATGTGGCTCAGTGGCAATGAGTATCAAAACATGAATGCAAACTTGGGTAGAAAAGCAAAAGGAATAAAAGACAGTCTACATTTAATTGGTCTGTTGAATGCAAATGCCAGAGTGGTCCACTGATAACTTTTCATGCCAAATAGCACAATGAAGGATGCAGAAACCATGAGGACAATGTCAATCAAAACAAACCAACAGGATAAGAAACTAGGATCATGAAATGACAACCTGCTTCCTCAAAGAAAAATCACCCCCTAAGATCCTGGAAAGGTAGGTACTACACCATATGCTCAACAACATTCTCAACTGGACAACCTAAAGGCCTGCTTATGGAAAAATTCCAGGTGTCAAAAGTATAGTAGTTCCTCCTACTAGAAGAAGATATCACAAGAAAACCAATGGGTGCAACCTGGGTGACAACGACTACAAATGCTCATGGCAACAACATAACTAGACTGTCTTTAGTTTTTAATCACTTACAGCATAAGAAAAAGAAACAAACCAACAACAATGCCAGATTGTTCCACCATCACAAGAGGTAATCTCACACAACAATTAAATGAAGATCAAGAATATTATATATGGGGAAAATCATAGATCCAGAGTATTCGCAGAGAAGAAAGGATACCATGAATATCCTGTTCACATTGCATTGCCTAAATGATGTAAATCATATGATGTTTAGAAATCAATAGAGTACAACTGCCACAACGTTGTTCAAACAAAACAAAACTTCAAAACAGAAAACAAAATCAGGCCTAACAATATCCAAAGCGCTTCCTCTAAAAGACAAGCTCATGAGGTTTCATGCCTGCCTTGAGTGAAAACCTTGCAGCCAAGTAAGTCTTAAGGTCTAAAACCCCCTCAATAGATTTGACCAATGATGCATCCACAGCTTTCTGATCATCCTTCTTCTCCGTTGGGAGTACATTCTTCTCCTACATTTGCAGAACAAAGAAAATATTAAAAGCATGAACACATCGAAAAAGGATAGCAAAATGAAAAGAGAGGAAGAAATTATATATGGAAATGGAGAAACCTCTTTGTCTGCCTCAAAGAACTCCCCTTCTCCTTTCTTCTTTTTCTTCTCAGCTTGCTTTGCAAAGTACTTGTCATCAAACTTGTCCACATTCACCCCTGAGATGTCAACCTTGGTAGAAGTACCAATCACATAAGATTGATTCACACGTCTTAAAGGAACACCATTAATCTTGAATGGTCCTGAAGTAGCAAAGACAAAAAGGTCGATTACCAGAGCTTTCTGTGCATGCAATTTTCCGAAAAAATGAAAAAAAAAGGGAAAATAGTAAACCAAAGGAATAACTTAATTAAGAAGAATGCAGTTAAATGAGAAAGGAAAAGAGAAACAAAAAAATGGGGAGGGGGCAGTTGACAAAGGGTTCCTACTCCCTACAGCGTAATTCATAGGTCAAAGGCAAAATAGCCAGTGAAATAAGACAAACTAAGCATTGAGGCAGCTATTTATCCAGACAACATTGGTCTAATTCACTCCAAACTATACATGGAGGTGACAAGGTTCTTAATTGTCCTATCAATATCAATCATTACACATAACGCTTGGATGGAGGACATTATAGATCAAGGCAGCTACAATGAGCAACAAAGCACACAATAGCAAATATTTATTTTTTATAAGCAACTAAATTTTTATTTGAGGAAGGGAGTACAAGAAAAAGGTACAATAGAGGACAACACTATCTACAAAAGACTATTTGCAAACATTATAGCATCCCAATGCATAGCACATCAGTTGATCAGTTCAAAAGAACCAAATGTTTGACAGTGTGTATTTTGGCTCACACTTATTATACTTCTGGCAAATAAATATCAACTACACATTTAAAATTCTGTGAGAATGAAGGAATTAAGAAAACTATAGACCCATAATCAAATTAATGTCATTGTTGAATGTTGAGTTAATTCCAAACCAGGCAGCAAACAAATCCACTCCAGGCTTTCTTTGACACACAACCCTGTTCACCTCATACGTCACATGTAAGTAGTCACAGAAGGATCTATTGTTTAAGATTGGATATCTATATCTATATTCATCTATATCTATCTATATATCTATCTATACTACTAATAAAAGTACCTTTAACATGAAAACTTTTGATTCATTATTTTGCCCTTATAAAAAATTATAAAATCTAACATGTCCGTTTGTTTTTAAATATACAAATTACGATTATATCCCTCTATATTTAAATAACAAACTAATCTCTAACATTTCATGCAAATTTTTCTATTTTAGCAAAAATTTTAAATGGTCATGTTACGTTTAACATAATATATAAAAACATTATTTTTCCCCAAAAACGCAATATTAATACACGTCTACAACTCTACTGATATAATAATATCTCCAATGCCCAAAAACTGATATATTCATGTTTTCTCTTCATTCACAATCAAAATAATTTGGAAAAAATTGTTGAGCAACAAAGTAAAAATAAGAAAGACAAAAAGGAAAAAAAATAAAATAAAATAAATTTTACAACCCTTACTTCTTAGTAGCTCGAATAAAAAAATTATAGAAAATAAGTCTATTTGATGTCCGTAGTTATGATGAGAATACAAATAATTTAAGTATGATAAATATAAGATATTATGTAATTTAACTACATAATTAGATTTTTTGTTGAAATATTTATTTTATCAAACATTCAACAAAAAATTTCACATGCAACGTATGTATTGCATTACTAGTACTACTAAAAAACACCTATTCAGAAAAACTTTTGATTACATATTTTAACCTTAATTTTTTATGGTTCATTATATCCCATTCAGTCGAACAAGTCAAGATGTAACCGTATTTTACTGTTGTTGTTCCCTTGAGAATTTAATTGGTCTCTTTTTTGGGTATCATCTTTTCTTCTTCTAAGATACAATTGCAGTTTATTGATTTTTAATGGTATTTCCATTTAATAGACTTCCCCGCTTCCCTGAATAATAACTGCAGTTGTTTGGTTATTTAATAGTCTTCTAATTTAAGAGTTATTTCTTTTAGGAATTTTGTAGAGTACTAACATAGAGACAATAGAAAAGTCAAGGATCTCTCTTAAAAGGCCTTCACCTCATACAATTCCCCACTTATTTTCCGTTAATGCTGATACCAGGCTCATAGTCTCAGATGCAGCCGAACCTCTCGGTTGATTTCTATTGTAAAGCCCATGAAGAACCAGCGATCACTTAAAGACGCACCTTTTTGAGATATTCCACAAATCATTTGAGGTAGAATTGTTGGAAGAAGATAAGATACTGGTGGAGTTTGGTAAGAGTCTTTAAAACTAGGGTGAGGGTTCTAAGTATGACTTTTCAAAGAATTTAAATGAAAGCCTGAAAGGCTTTTCCTTGTGTACTTTTGATCTCTCCCACCTCTCTCTCTCTCACAAACACACATGAAAAAAAATGTAATTTTGGATTTATTAGAAAAACTGTTGTATTGCAAGAACTGGATTCAATTGCTACAAACAACATTATACTAGTTGTTACCCTTGTCTTTTCCCCGATGGATTCATTCTCACAATTGTCAATTTCTGTGATATATTCCTTCCAACTTCATGTTTGCGCATAATTTTACAATCATTACCCACTTGAGCGAGACAATTGCTAACTCCATTGCATGAGCTTTTATGCTAACAACGCTACTCACAGAAAAACAATTGCTTGCAGTGTGCATGAGACTATGCTACTAATTATTTTTATATATTAGTATGGTATAAACCGTTTCAAGTTACTGGTTTATGAGTTTTCTTAGTGGAATGGACCACAAAAAGCATTGATTTTTTTCCGTGCACACGTCAACTAGTTTCTATAAATGTATCATGATCATCGAGCTCAGGCAAGTAGCAACACATAATATATTAAACAGACCAAAGATAAAACCTACAAGCAGTTAAAAGATTTCACACAGAATTTTTGCAGATGCTACTATTTGAATACATACCTCCTACCATGGTATACACCATGTAGAGATCAACAAATATAATCACAGAAGTTCTAATGCATTCACATAACCACACTACCCAATGACCAGTACCCATCCAAAGATCGGCTCAAGCATATATTGCAATTAATAAAACCGTACGTACACAAGGGCAAGCACACACACACACACACACGCAATATGAACCAATTAGATTTATAACAAGTAAATATTATTTCTCATACAACAAACACATCACAAAATCTTACCTGTAACCAAAAGCAACCCGGAAGAAAGCTGCTTCAAGAACACCACTCTCTTCCCTTTGAACCGCCCAGCCAGTATAATCAGCACTGTCCCCGGAGTAATACTAGCTCTATACACAAAAACCCAATATATATATATATATATTCACACACGACCATATAAACAAAAAACGAAAACCCATATAACAAAAATACAATCGCAAACAATAAACAAAGGCACACATGCAAATGCATATACATATGTGATATATATCCACCTGAGCTTGGTGGGTTTGTGTTTGCGCTTGTTGACTAGGGGTATCTTGACATCGTCGGCGGGGTAGAACTTCGGGGGCTTCTCGGCGGGGGTGGGCGCGGCGGGCTTCTTGTCGTGGCGAGGGAAGACCCCACCGTTTTTGGCCTTGATTGCCCACAGACCCCTCTTGTGGTACATCTTGGAGCGTGAGTACTTGCCCACACCCCTGATCAGATCTGGGTTACGACTCACTCTGGGTTTCTCCGGCGCCATTGATGATGGTGGTGGTCTCTCTCTCTCTCTCTCCTCTCTCTCTCTCTCAGAAATGAGACTGAGATGCCACTAATTCTATCGAGGCTATAGGCACATACGGCGCGTTTGTGTCTATAAAACCCTAGAAACCCCAATTTGGAGAATGGGTTTACTGGGCTCGAGTTTTGATAAGTATTGGGCCTAAGTCGATTGCATCTTTATAGACCTTGAGATGGTCACAATGGCCTAGCTCATTTAATGATTTGTTTGCTACTCCTCTAATTACATCTCTATTTTAGGGAAATTGGGAGTAGGCATGTAAACAGATTGAATTTGAATTATATTTTAATTTATCTGAATTTGAATCCGAGTTTAAAAGTTTGATTTAACAATTTGGTAGATTTTGTTTTCTTGATTTTTATCTAAATTCGTCAACAATCTGAAATTCGATCAAATCCTATCCGAATAACTTAATTTAATTAAATTGCGTCTAATTTTTTTTAAATAATTACTTAATTTTTTTAATATTATACAAAAAATAAATATAAATCCGAATCGTGAAAATATAAGATATCATATTTGAATTTGAATAATAGATAAAAAATATCAATCCATATCTAACTTATTTGATTCGGATCAAAATCCGATCGATTGACAGACCTATTTACGAGGACAATAAGTTATATTCTACGAACGAGGACAATAAGTTATATTCTACTAGTTCGTACTAAATTAGTCAAAATTTCCTCAATCATATATTTATTTTCAACTTTATCAATTCTCATGAAAATATCAATTACATTATTTTTCAAATTTCTGAATCAATTCTAATATGTTTCAAAAAGCATTAAAATAATTCATCGAAAGAATACCATCATATGGATAAGATTTCTTAGAATTAGCACAAGTTAACTTCACACGGTCTTATACAACAAATGATGTTATGTAATATTTGCCAAATTATCTAAATTAATCATTTTTATTTGAATACTAATTATTATTTGTACGTAAAAGCACGGAGTATTAAAAAAAATTGTCAATCATAAATGACTTGATCTGAAATATGTACATCCAAGTGCATGCAGTCAAATTATAGTTTTAATCCAATTAAGTCCGAAATCAAATTCACGGGGAATTTTCGTTTGTGTTTTATAGTTAAGATCAATAGAGACAATGGTAAATGGAATCCTCGAAATTTGAAAGTTGTGCCGATGATAATACTTTTTAGACAAAATATAAGATTTTCTTAAACAGAAATAAAAGTCACTCTTTAATTCGAGGATCCAAATATAAAAATATGTGTTCGGGTGCTATATTTGTGTAATGATTATTACTGAATTAACTTCTATGTCAATAGCAAGATAATTGGAGGATATATATTGAATGTGTAAATTAAGAGTATAGCTCCGATTCTTTGTAGAGGGTCATAAGAATTGTTTATGCCGACACTAAACCCATTTATATACAATCAAATAACATCACAAAACATCTAATATTAGTTAATCTAATCAACTATAAGTCAAACACAATGTACATTAAAATTGAAAGATTGTCGTAAAAACCTAACTTGGGTATTTACAATGAATAATTAGAATCATCTACGCCAAAACTTAACTTATCTATAAGTGAGTCATGATTTTATAAATCATTTTAACTTTTCTAGATACATTCAATCATTTAACATACGTAGCAAAAGATAAACAATAAGCTTAAATAAAATACACAAATATAATTTTCTAACAATAATTTACATGTTCATCACCTCTTATTAAATAGCGAATGAGAAATTACTCGTCCTTCATAGTTTCGAGGAAGTTAGAAAAATGAGTGAATCTCATCCCTCTAAGTAGAGGAACTGAAGGTTCGTTTGTTTAGCGGGAGAATAGTGGAAAATACAAGAAAGGTAAATTTTTTAGAATTTTAATGTGTTTGGTTAGTATGAAAAAGAAAATGATAGAAAAAATAATTTTATTTCATGCTTGAATTTTCTCACAAATAACCAACTTTTTTTTCTTATGAAAAACAAAAGGAAATGCAAGAAAGTTGTGATCTATAGCTAACTTCTCATTTTACCCTTATTTTTTAAAAAATATTTTATTAGTTATTAGTTTTAAAAAATATTGGTATAAATTTAATTAATCATATAATTTGACCCAAAAACTATTGTGATTGTGATCATCTTAGAATTAGGTTTCGAGCAACTTTTTAAAAAAAAAATTTAACGTTCAATTGTAATTACATATTTTTTTCTTCTTTAGACCAATTTAATATAATTAAGGGTAATTTAAAAAATTATAAAAAATTTCTTATAATTTTACTTTCTTTCAAATAATAAAATAATTTTTTTTTTAACATTTTCCTGTAAATTTTTCATTTTAACCAAATATATGTATAAAATATATTTTCTATTATTTTCACTTTCCATCATTTTTTTCTTCTTAACCAAACGAACCATAGGAATTACAAGGAGAAAATTATAAGAGACAAAATGCTTATCTCTAATAAAGAATGAGTGAAACACTACGCATCCTTCAAAGCCACAAGAGAACTAGAATGGCGAGAGAGATTCACTCCTCTACGTAAAACAGAAAGTTAAAATAAAAGTTAATGAAAGTAATACTAGGAAAGTAGAAGAAAATTAGTTTATTTGAAGAGTTATTTTCCCTTCAAAAAATTGTCTTTTGCTTCAACAAGATGAGAGTATTTATAGGGGAGGAGAACATAATGCCTGGATTTGAAAATGTGACGCCCCTAAAACCGGGGGTCCTTTATTAACCGTTGACCACCGGTCATTCCGCGGAAATACTCGTGATGGTTACACAACTCGATATCACGTTAATCGCATCCCCTTAACTGGGATTATAACTCACACGTGTAACTCATGTACATTTTATTATTTAATTCAACCGTGGTCCAATGTACCACATTTCATACCCCATTATAGTCCATTTATATTCTGGGAACCAATGAACCCATAACCCAAAAGTTTGGCAAAATAATTTTAAAATTTCAAAATTTTGAAAAGTGTATCGGTATTGCGTACCGGTACGGTGAGCCTTCTAGAAAATCTGTACCGGTACAGGTAACACACTGGAAAATCTGTATCAGTACGGGTAATCCACTGAAAAATCTGTACCGGTACGGGTAACCCATTGAAAAATCTATACTAGTATGTGTAACCCACTTGACTTCGTCGTACTGGTACACTGTATCGGTACTGTTTGGTGACTTTTATCCATTTCACCTGTTTTCAATTTTTAACCAATTTCAACTTATTCCAATACCATCCAAAACATGCTTAACAAAGTTTTTCACATAAAATCTATTATGTACAAGTTCTATTATAGATAATTTCATACGATTACATGCCCAAAATATAATTTTCCCAAAAATTATACAAAATGAGTTATCAAAAGTCACAAGTCGGCTCTCTTCATCTTTAAGGCTCGAAATGAGAGTCCTCCGCTAGTGTGAACCTCGCACCTGAAATATTTTTCCGTATAGAGTGAGCTACACTCAATAGAGTATCTCCTACAGAGATTATTTCCTATCATAGATGCATATGACATGTGCACATGCAACAATTAACAATCATAATCCATTCCTTACAAGAACATATCATTTAAGATGAAAATTTCTATCATTTCATGTCATGATATGAGGTGATACTCACTAATACACTTTAACCCGAGTCTACATCGACTCCCATAACACAATGCAATGCACTTGTGTAATTCATTTGTCATTGATGAAATACATCCAATGATTTATTGAAATAAACTCATATGTTTATAAACCAAAAACATTTTTGGATGTTTCTCATCAAATGATTACTTTATAAAAAAAAATCATGTGTCTTTACTGGGTATCGGATTCTGAAATCACACCGCTGGTTCCGTACGCCATTACACTTTTCTGAAATTTCACCATAGGGGAGTGTATGAACCAAGTAGTCGGGTCTTTCACTTGAGGGAGAATCTATCCCTTCTTGCTATACCCGACTCAAGTTTTTCTTTCATGCAATCATACGACTCAATCAGATCTTCGATCCAACTTTTTCGAGTCCACTCATCTATCACCATGTATGATGATTGATCCAACCATGCACATGCACACACACAATCATACTCATGTCCATGGATGTATTTGTCCCGTGCAAATGCAATGTAATGCACCATTGCAATATCAATGTTATGTTCCATATGTAATGAATGTCATTTGAGCTAATTTAACCACATACGTCGTCATACATCATGGAAATTTATATCAATTGCATATAATTATCATAATCCATCACAATGTCAATACACCAACTAGTACATATTAACATTTATATCCAACACAACCTACAAACATGTTATACATAACTCATGTCATAACTCAACTCTCACATAGGCATTTAGCAAAGTACCTTCAAGGCACAAATCATGTTATTACACAAATTTGCCCACATCATTCACAAGGCACAATAGCGACACATAGCATGCCCAACAATATCAAGTTCTAAGGAATTTCACAAGTAATTTTCCTACACCAAACTTAACTAGGAATTGGTCTATGCTATTTTCACACCTATTTCCTCATTTTCATAACCATAGTCAAGTGACCTATGTTATTCTATACACTTACTCATTTCATATAACATCCTAGATAAGAAATAAACCAAAGTAGGAAAAAACGCTACCTCTTAAAGTGTAAATGAAAGGGAGAACCTTCAAGAACACCTCTCAAGCCCCAAAACTCTTGATTTTTCAAATCTCCTCTTTGAATATTTGGTGAAATTCTTTGTTCTTAGTACGTAGACGAATTTTAACTCTTGGTACGAGGGATTCTGATCAACAGAATTTCATAAATCGAAGAGAAAAAGGTAGAAATTTCTTTTTCTTTTCTCTCTTCTCTCTCTTTTCTCTTCTAACGTATGAAACTAGTTGATCAAGTGGGGAAGATCAGATATTTTTTTCTATTTTAGCCTTTAACTGTGTGGTCCACATCGCGCCACACATTTATTATTTCTGGATCAGTTTTTGTCCCGAAACGACTTAATTTCATCCCGGTTTAAGTTCAAATTATTTTTATTTGAACTTTCCTTCCTTCAATTATA